CTGCACTGGTCTAGTGGTTCTGGTTTATCGCTCCCTGAGCGAGCCAGCAGTGGGCGCACCGGCACAAGGCGGAGCAGGACCATCACCCCCACAGAGGGGCGCTCGAGGCCCACTAACCCAGGGGGCAGACTGGGCACCTTCCCTTCCCGCACCTTCCACACCCAGCCCCAGGGCAAGCCCGGTGGGCAGCGCCCCATCACTCTACTCCACCTTCCTCTCTCTCTCTCCACTCCCACCTCCCTCGTCTAAGCTGCCGCCCTCTCTCGCCTGGACCACTACAGCAGCCCTTTCACTGCCCCCCCCCCCCCATAATCCCCTTTTCACACTGTGGCCACACTAATCCCTTAACAATGCAAATATGCTCATGTCACCCACTGCTAAAAACGTTTCCCCTTCAGGAACATCTTGTTCCACACTCTGCACTCCAGCCTTGGCCCCGGCCATCATCTTTCAGGATCCCCAACCCCTCCTCATCCAGTTCATTGCTCCTTCAGGCTTCAGTTCATCTGTTACTTGCTCAGGGAGCCCTCTCTGATCCCCTTGACAAGGTCAGATCTCTCAGTTGCAAGCTCTCCTAGCACCACAGACTTCTTTGCAGCACATACCAGAATCTCCAACTTTCCATTCATTTCTGCGATTACTTGACTAGCATCTGCCTCCTTCACTAGTCCATAATGGGGGGCTGGTACACTGGCTGGTGTGAGTGGGGCTCATTTGTAGTGCTGGCAGATTCCTGTGTTGTAAACACAACCACCAGGGTAGATTTCAAGCTACCAACCATTGTGGTTCACAAAATCCCTGAAAACTTAATAATCAGCTCTCATGAGCTAGAATAAGCTGGCTCCAGAGTACCACCAGGGCAGGCCTGGTAGCTGGTTTTGTACCCTCAGGACCAATAAAGTATCTGGAAGGTAACTGAAGAGCCATAAATATTTGGTGAATGAACGAACAAGCAATGCTGAAGTTTAAATGAGCCTTCAGGACAGCAATTGCTGTTTCCAGAAGATAAAAGACTTTGAATGCTTTCCCAAGAAAGGAACAAGGGAGTCAGGACATTTTGTTCTCTGAAGACTATTTATACATTTATTTTACAAACACATCTGTATCAGGCAGAAATCCAAGTGCTTTACTAATCCTAATCCATCTAATCCTCACAACAATCAAAAGGTAGATACTGTTAGGACCCTCATTTACAGATAAGGAAACTGAGGCTCAGAGTCACCTGCCAAGGTGGTGGAGCTGGGCTTCGCACCCAGGGAGTGGGACTGCAGAGCCTGTGTCCCTAACCACTGTGTGTGCTGCATCAGGCTCAGCTCTGGAAAGGAGACACGGCCCATGTTCCCATCCGGCTCCAACATAAGTCCATCCACCCCGTGGACTTGGGGGTGTGCTCTTCAGGTCACTGCACCTCAACACAGAAAGAACGAACGGAAAAGGGCCAGAGATGAGGCTCCATACCGATGGGGGAGATGTGGCTCTTCTGGATAAGAACAGAGTAAACAGATCAGCCAGCCCTGGGGGTCTAGTGTTAAGATTCGGTGCTCTCAGCGCTGTGGCCCGTGTTCATTTCCCGGCCGGGGAACCACACCACCCGTCTGTTGGTTGTCATACTGTGGCGGCTGCGTGTTGCTGTGATGCTGAAAGCTATGCCACCAGTATTTCAAATACCAGTGGGGTCACCCATGGTGGACAGGTTTCAGCAGAGCTTCCAGACTAAGGCAGACTAGGATGAAGGACCTGGCCAGCCACTTCCAAAAAAACTGGCCATGAAAACCCTATGAACAGCAGCAGAGCGTTGTATGATACAGTGCCAGAAGGCACAAAAAAAGACCGGGCAGGGTTTGGTCCTCGTGTACACAGGGTCACTAGGAGTTGGAATCGACTCGATGGCGCTAACAGCAACGAAAGACAGATTAAGGCTTTTCCAGAGCCACAAACTAGCCAAGGAGATGGACTTTAAACATTTATTTACTAAATTCTAATGGGAGGAAACTGACCTGGTCAACTTTCATAAAGGGAAACATTAAAACTTGAGAGGCGAGTTTGGGACACTGGTATGTGTCCAATGTTCTTCTCTGCACGTGGTCTCGCTTCACCTCTAAGACCACCCTGGGAGATGAGGACAATCAGGCCCATTTTAATGAACCGAGGACACCAAAGCTCAGAGGGTAGGAGATGCACCCAAGACCACAGAACTCCCCAATGGCAGAACTGAGCCCAGGTCTGAGCCAGAGGATGGCCAGCCCCACCTTCTCAAGCTGGTGCAGCGCCACTCCCCAGGCAGGTCTCATGGAGTCAGAGCTGCTCAGGGGAAGTCAACTCCTGGGGCTCATTATGTTGAGAAGCAGATTACAAAGCAAAGTACAGTCGGATTCAAAGGAGCTGTCACAGATTCCGGGCAGACGGCCTAACATTGCAATAATAAGAGTTGAGAACGTGTCTCTAACTTTCCAGGTAGTTGTTCATTTAACAAACAGACTCCTAGGTCCTGTGTGCCTACTGTGCGCAGCGACTGTCAAGGTCAGAGACGCACTCCCTCCTCTGTTGCCCATTCCATATGCAGCCTTGAGGACCGCCCCAAAGAAAATGAGAGCACTCACGCGGACCTTTAGCCTGGGAGAAGAACGGCCTTCATTTAGAAGGAAAGCCTGGGACAAGCAGACTGTAGGGTAATTTTGAATGCCAGGTCAGCAATTTGATTTTATCCTTTTTAGGAAAAGAAGGGCTAGTGAAGACTTTTAAGCAAGCGAATGGTATCACCATCATCATCATCACAATAAAAATAATAGCTACTGTCCACAGAGCACCCACGGTGCTCAAGGCTTTCAGCCCTCACACCCGCCCACTGATGTGGAGCCAGGGCTCAAGGCTGAGTCTGCTGCTGCAGACAGGAGGCCAGGCAGGTGGCGGCAGAGCAGGAACCCGAACAGGCGATAAGCTCGCGTATGGGACCACGGCGGACTACCCTCCCCAAAACCCGTATGAAAGGGAACTGACGTGGAAGTGACTTATACAAGGCAAACGGGGTTGGGGAGGGGGCTCCGGAGTGTCGGGTGATGGATGGCGGCAGAACGTCGGGCGCCTCTCCATAGCAGATCTGCTGAACGCAGCACTCCCGAGGAATCTAAAACCTCAGCTACTTCCTACCTGGGACGGAAGGGACCGTTTGGGCAGAGGACATAAATTTTCTGCTAACAAGTTACTCTTTCTACTGGTCACAGATCAGTTTGCCTACATACAGTTCTAAATGTTTTTCCAAAGCACATTGTGAGCATAAAACGGGGAGGGAAGCAGGTGGCCTTGGTGGCTGAAGTTCTAAGAGTTCTTTGCGCAGGGGTGACTGTCTTTCATGTTTCTTTTGACGTGTGCAGCTTACAATCCATCATTTTAGCTTCTCGAGGCTCCTGCGTGATGCTTAGTCAGGCGGAGGGCTGTCAGCAAGTTACTCTCATCAGGGTCCTCCCGCTGTTCTGGAAGGCAGCTCAGAAACTTGGATTACTTGGTTTCCCATGTAAACCTTGTGCCTACAGGCACAGTTTCATTCTCATCCAGGGCAACTTGAACTCCTTCATCCTCGGTTTCACCATGGGGTCAGAATTAATATCAACACCACTTGGCAGATGAGGAGCCTGAGGCAAGAGATAACAGCTCACAAGGGGCAGAGCCTGGATCTGAACCCACATCCACCTGAATTCAGTTTACTCACCCTAAACACCCTGCAGGATCTTTGCTTTCGAACATACCCTGGACAGCGCATGGGGTGGAGGTTTGGGAGCCATCAGCGTTTAGTGGGGTGGCTAAAGGCACGAGAAAGACCAAATTTAAGGGAGACAAAGGAAAACCAGAGAAGCAGGGAGAGAAACAGAAGCTGAGGCAGGCAGCGTCCAGGAAATCACGCAAGTGCAAGTTTTAAGAAGGAAAGAAGGGAATAACGGTGCAGACAGTTACCTAGGCAGGATGGCGCTGGACAAGGAACCGCAGAATTTGCCAAATTAAGAGGGCTTCCAGGCCTTCACAGACAGCATTTTCAGAGGAGTGGGGGGGTGGGGTGGGGGCCAGATTGCTGTGGGCTGGGAAATGAGTGGGAGGTGAGGACAGGGCCGGCAGCATATAAACTCACTCTTTCAAGAAATATGATAGTAAGGGGGAGGGGAGGAAGGCAGCCTGAAAGGGGAAGGGTTTCCTGGGGGATGACGGTGGGGAGAGATGTGAGCGGTTGTAAGCCAGAACAAAAGGAGAGGCTGAAGGCTACACGACAGGGAGGCTCCCCCTGAGAGAGCCCCAGAGGGAGCTCCAGGGGACAGGTGGAGAGCACACGGGTAGCGTTAGCGACAGCTCCTGTGGGTGGACTTCCCCAGGGCTGAGATGACAAAGGTGGACCTGACTATCTCTGCGGCCTCTTGCAGATCTAAAATTCTTTCCCTTTTCTTCTTCCTCCCTCCTTCTTTCCCTCCCTCCCTCGCCTCCTCTTTCTCTCTTTCCTCAAATGTTTGCTGAGCATCTACTATGTGCTAGGGCTTGTGCTAGGCTGTGGCTATTATAATGAACAAGACAGTGTATATCATCTTTATAGTTGAGTGGGGACACAGATATTAAACAACATGCACAAATATGTGTATGTGTGTGACTATACATTGTATGATAATACTAGTAATTGCTGAAGTAGTTTATAAGCAATTTCTCATTAACTCCACACACACAAACACACATACCACCCATAAGAAAGGCACTATTGGTATTCCCTGTTGCAAATCAGGAAACAGAGGCACAGAGAGGTCAGATGACTTCACACAACTAAGATAGGTGGAGCATGTCATTCAGCTTAGATTTGCCTGTCTGCAGACAGGAGCACTGAACTGCCACACTGTCCTGACTCATTGTGTTTATAGCAGTGGGCAGCAGGATGAACAAGATCTGGAGGCGTCCCCACCCTAGGGGAGCTCACAGTCCCTGAGCACTGGGAAGAAACCAAGAATTCGTTTACCCCTTTTCCCTGCAAGTATGGTCCCTGGACCAGCAGCATCCGCAGCAGCTGGGCGCTTGTTAAACATGCAGAAGCTCCAGCCCAGCCCGACCCATCAGATCAGGATCTGCAGTTTAACAAGATCCGCAGGTGCTTGGTACGCACGTTCAAGTTGGAGAAGCCTGGTCTAGAGCCCACTTCTCTTATCAGAGATGGGAAACCGAGGGCCAAGCGTTTGGAGGTTAGAGAGAGTGGTTGCACTTCAGGGCTTGGTGTCCTCGGGAGCTCAGCCTAGGCCTGAATGGGCGCTTCCACTCTTGCGCTAAGAGGCCAGCGGAAGGAAGGGCGCGCAAGGTGCTCGGCGCGCGCAAGGTGCTCGGCGCGCGCAAGGTGGGCCAGCCGGGCCGCGGCG